TGAGAAAGAAAGGAATTAAGAGAGAACTGAAAACCCACCACCTGAAATAAAGAGACTTGGCATGCAAGCATGCGGTTAGTAAATCTAATTCAGCGTGCCTACAAACGCTGCGCCGGTGCTGCCTACGTTTACTGCGGGACCCGTCGGCGCTTCGGCAGTGGTCCCGAGTGACCTCTCTCATGGCTCACTAGGCCTGCCTGACTAAGGCACTCGCGACCGCATGTTCTACAGCACAATGCGCTCGATGTCGATGGAGTACAATTCATCGGTGCTTGCCGCTTCCGCAATTGCCGCTTCTTCTCTGCATGCATGAGGGATTTCTCCCGCACCTCAGCAACTGCCTTCGTGATTAGATCGCGCCACGCACGCCGATCAACCGCCTTCGATTCCCATGATCTGCAATCAAGATGAGAACGTGTGAGGCCCACTTTAATCATGTCCTGGTAACGTAACTTTGGTTTCCCCACGTGCCGCTTCCCAATACTCAGCTGACCGTATAAAAGTTGTTTCGGTATTCGCGTCGAATCCATACGGCTCACATGACCGAGCCATCTCAGGTGTCGCAGTAAAAGTATGCAGTCCACTGCATACATCCCACTTCGGCGCAACACTTCCGTGTCTGCAAATCTGGCGCCCCAACCGATCCGCAAAATACGTCGCAGACACTGCTGATGGAACCGCTCGAGATATCGCACATTCCGACGGTACATCGTCCACGTTTCACTGCCGTATAGAAGAACGGACAGTACCATGGATTTGCACACCATCAGCTTCGTGCCAATGCTAAGCTGATGGTTGTTCCACACTCGGTACTCAAGCTTCCCGAATGCTGTTGCCGCCTTCGACACGCGATTACGCAACTCAACGTGTAGCTGCTGATCAGTCGACATCACACTCCCAAGGTAGCAGAAGCGGGGGGTGGTTTCCAATACTTCAGCACCAATGCTGATTTGCGGCAATATTGAAGATGGCACCTCCGGTGAAGGCTGAAAGAGACAGACAGTTTTGCTTGTGTTGATGGTGAGCCCGAATTTGGCCGCTGTCGAAGCCAGAGCACTAGTCATGTGCTGCAACTCATCCGCGTTGTGTGAAAACAACGTACAGTCGTCAGCAAACAGCAACATACGGATAGTTGTCTCACAGACTAGAGTTCTCTCACCGAAACGACGGATGTTCAGCAACCCACCATCAATACGGTGCTCCACACGAACACTGTAAGCACAAGCCGCATCAAAAGCACAAGACAACATTGCATGAAGATAGATATTAAACAGGGCAGGAGCTAAGACACAGCCTTGCTTCACACCAGAGACAACCGTAAAGTCATCAGAGGTCTCTCCACTCAGCTGCACCCTCGCTCGCATACCACTGTGCAGACATTCAATTAAACTTACAAACTTACGCGGGCAACCAAACTTACCCAACACCAGCCACAGTGCCTCACGGTTCACCGTATCAAATGCCTTGGTGAAATCAACAAAAAGCAAGTACAAAGGCTTGTGTCGTTCTCTGCACTTCTCTTGCAACTGACGAGCCGCAAACACCATATCCATAGTGCTGCGACCCGAACGGAATCCACATTGCTCTTCCGCCACGTTTAGTTCCACAATCTGACTCACGAGGCGATTGAGCAGGATTCGGGCAATCACCTTGCCCACACAACTCAGCAAGTTGATGCCACGATAATTCGTGCAACATTGCTTGCTACCTTTGCCCTTGTACAGTGGTAGCACAAGGGCATCCTTCAGCTCAGCAGGCACCTCCTCCTCAATCCACACGCGTTGCACCAAGTGGTGCAGCGCAGTCAACAACGCGGGTCCACCGTGTTTCAATACTTCAGGTGGGATCCCGTCACCTCCGGCACATTTGCCGTTTCGCAGCTGAGCAAGTGTTCTCTGCGTCTCATCCAGTCTCGGCGTATCCGCCAGATTCGCCTTCACACCGTGCTGCTTCAGGCCATTCAATGTAGGCCAGTCGATCTCTGGACGGTTGTTCAAGAGACAGTCAAAGTGTTTCCGCCAGACCTGCATTATGTCTGCAGTCTGGGTGCAGGTAGCGCCTGAACTACCATCGATCAGTGTCCTCAGCGGCTCCAATCTCGGTCCATACACCGCCTTCAAGGAGTCAAAGAATTCCTTGTGTTGACGGCGTTCGGCGTAGCATTCCATCTGCTTCGCCTTCTCCGTCCACCATGCATTTTTAATGCGACGGAGCTCTCGGGTCAGTCGCCGTCGAAGTTTGCGAAACTGACTACTCTTCCCCAAGTCACTGGGGTCTGCAACATGTGCAGCAAATGCTGCATTCTTCTCTGACACCAATGCGTCAATCGTCACATTGTTGTCATCAAACCAATCGGGCGCGCAAACTGTAAGCATATATATATATATATATATATATATATATATATATATATATATATATATATCGATCAAAAACTGTGTACAGATATTTTGCCATCGGAACCATGGCGGAATAGGAAAACGGGGTTAGAGTAAAAGAAGAAAGAAAACACACCACTTTTTCCTCCATTTTTCCACTCACGGTTTTTGTGTTTTCTTGGATGCTTTTTATGGGGGGAGGAAAGAGAAATCACTGCAACAAGCAGAGATACACGCCCGCCACTTAGTTCAGTTTCGAGCCATGACTTCCAAGATTTACAACCAACGACGCTCAGCATCCTTGCGACTTCATCTAGGGAGTCGGGAAGAACCGACCGTGACCAGCTGTTTTGTCAGCTTTTTCATCATGCTTCTTCAAGCTGTAGGCTGTCCACCACATCGTCTCCTCCAACTCTGTCCAGCGACCGCGAATAAGAACACGAAGCGGAAGGCGCTGAACGGGCATACGCGGTACGTGTCCTAGCCATCGTAGTTCATGCAGCGAGACAAGCGCCTCTAGGGAGTGGCTGTCTCCACCCAAGGCACGCTGTCTGCTTTCAATGTTGGTTACCTAGTTCAGCCAAAACACACGGGTGATGGATCGCAAGCAACGGTTCTCGAAGACAGACAGTCGACGTAGGTCATCGGTACGAGCAAGTCAAGTTTCGATACTGTGCAACCGTACGGCACAGACAGTAGCATTATAAACCAGTCCTTTGATGGAGAGACGGATGTCATGGTAGCGCCATAAAAGCCTCAGCCTGGAGAAGGCGAAACGAGCTCTTGAGATGCGCATCGAAATCTCGTTATGTGATTGTCATTAAGCGGACGGCGCCCGACCGCCATGATTTACGAGCTGATTGCGGTATGGAGATTTTCAGACATGTGGAGGTCTATCTGATTTGAAAGCAACTGCGAAACAGCTCCTTAATTATTAACACAAATATCTCCTACTCATGAGTACATCAAATATCGGCCATACCAGCTTCTAAATGCCTTGTGCACACAGTTACTGTTAGTTGCAGTTGTGTCTTTAGGGTCCAAACCTATCATATGTGATGTAAGCAAATTGTAAAGTATTACAATCCACCACTGTCCTTTCATGGTTCGGTGGCATTAGCTACTGCTTGGAATTGCAGGCCGCTAGTAATCATGGCTTCGCTTCCTGATGTAGGCGCAAAGGTTGTGCACTGTAGTCGGTCAGGTTGTGCTATCGTAACATGTTAAAAGGTAAGAGGTCGACCAGTGACGCTTCCGTTGTCACCGTTTCTTCTTCCTATCCTGATTTCTCCCCCACACTATTTATCCTGCTCTCTTGCCTGCTTCTTTCACCGTCTCCATAGGCTCCGCCTCTTAATAGGTCGTTGTGATAGGAGCATCCCGCCGCCTGCAAGGTTGTTGCTTTTCTTTACAGCTCCAAAGGTCTAGCATGATGTGTTGTACGCGCTGGAGACAAGAGAACTTAGAACACCTGCCCGGCTAAATTTTGCACACAATACTGATGAGACCAAACAGTATGAAAAGGTCTTCAACTGCTTATCCGGACATGCGCAGTACTGTCTTACTCGGACGCTACTACGAATAAACCTCCAGTTATGCAATCGGAATTGGCATCACTCTTATATGTTTCCTGATAATTTCTTACTGAGATCAATCTTATTGGCAAAATATAAGCCACAGCAAAAACAAACGATTCTGGCACATCCTCTTTCTACGAGTAGACGCAAAAGCTGGCATCTGTGTACAAGAGTCGCAAACAGAGCGACAACACTATGTCCATCATGAAACGAGTTTATCAGCAGAGAATATTCAATTGTGATTTGAAATTAGATTCTTGTGCACGTCCCGCTTTTGCAGTTTAGTTAATAGGAATACATTAAAATATATGTTTCTGTAAATAAGCGACCATTGTAGACTTGCAAGATAACATAATTCAACGAATATAAAGCAGGCGCAAAATTGCTGCCGGTGGAAATCAAATGTTTGCCATCAAACTGGCGACATCGGTAATGTTGGACACTAACCACAGCACTGACGCCCGTCGTTACTCTTAGTTGACTTGTGGGATATTAACTTCGTGATGTCCAGACATACCACGGGAGTTCTTGTGTTTTAGAAAAGCACGGAACTACTTAAGGGTTAAGTACCTTGACTGTCGCCGCGATGTAATTAGGAAGGTATCTTAGTGGAGACTACATTCGACTCTCTGTGGTTTCGGGTGGCATGCAACGGGCTCCTAACAGTTACGTAGTGAAGAGCAGAAAACTATCAGTGTAGTTATATATCATATCAAGTGAGCTACGACCAGTTATCCTGGCATGATAGTAATCGCGCTCGTAAGAGGAAGGTCAAGAGCTAATGCACCTTGAGGAATGTAGGTATCTGCGCTTCTTAGGAGTTCGGAATGGAATATGAAACCATGAGGTGATTTTGAAAATCATTGGTGATCACCAATATGTGATGTACGTTAGTACAAATAAGGATTGTAACCATACTGATTTCACTCTATGACAGTAGATCGTACGTGGGAGGGGTGGCAAAAAGATTTCAGGGCATGCAGAACATCCACTGGTTCTAATCAGCCAGATCCATAGCGCGGCCGCAACTATTGTGTGTCAGCGATTATCGGTCGGCGAAAAACGCATCCACTTTTAGTTGTAGCAACCGTGAAGGAGAAAAGCAAACGTGCGACTTACCATGTGAGACTTCTCCAAAATCCAGCTCCGGTGGTTCGAAATGAAAGGATGGCTCAACCACGGTGCCACTGCGAAAAGAAGGATGAGATTGCGAACATTTGGATAAATATAAACCCAAGTATACCTTATAAATAGTTCCAGGAAGATCAATGCTCAATTCTCAGTCCAACAGTGTCAATATTGTCTGCTATTCTTTGTTGGGTTCGTTGTATCATGCCATCTGAAGTTTCGACAGTGATTCACTTTGAGATGAACATCAGTTATTTCGGTCACTGGAGCCCTTTCCGAAGCAGGGGAACGCTAAATTCGCCGCCCGAAACAACGTAGGGTCAGTCCCGAGTGGCTTGTAGCCGGAGTTGAGACAGGATGTCGCGATCCATTTAGAAAACAGCCATTGCGGATGCGCTGACAGTGAGTTACCAAGCGCTTTGACAAGCGTCGTCTGCACAGCTGGGTGCTGTGAGAGTAGTTTTCCATCACAGTCTGCATGCCCCAGGTTCCGACCTAGTCCGGCTATCTGGAGAGTTCTAATCAGGATGAAACAGATCTATAAACACAATGCTTGCATTAGATAATTTTCAACCTGTGCTGGACATATTGCACGAGTTTCTTATGGGAACATCCATAGGCTCCTAGTTTAGACCGCAATGTGCGCAACTTCGCTCCCACATCATCCGTGCAGTGAGGATAGGCCGCTTGCAACACGGCACTTGTTGACCTCCTGTTCTCCCTTGTTTATGAAATTTCGGGGTAAATTTGTTACTTCGACAGACCAATGGGTGGAGCCCAGCTTATGAAGGTGGACACTTCTGTGCGAGATCGAATGAGTAGTGTCAAGATGTAGCTAGTGGAGGTAATACAGAAAACAGTCGCGTAAGGCTGAAATTAAGTTGGACAAAGTCCATTAACACAGTATGATGCAGTTCACGTATGCATATTTTATTTTTATACGGGCACGCGGCTTCGGGACAAGGCGAAATTGACTTGTGCACTAAGCTGGTGGGTGGACCATAATGAGCGGCAACTTCCATGATGGTCCCGACACCAGTACAGCAATGTGCTCCCACCGTATTTTGAAGGGATACCAGTTTCACTAAGTTTAGGCTGGGTAGAGATACCGGGGCGTTTTCAATTGCTTGGACTTATCGCCATTTCCCGCATGTGTCAAAATTGTCATCATTACACGTTAGCCAAAGTTGAGAGGTTCACTTCAGCTAATGTGTCGCAATACAAAAAGATAAGTTCTAGGAAACAAAGCGAAAGAAAACATTGAAGAATACAACATAAAGACTAAACGAACTAATATGATGCCTGGTATGTTATCCATCAGGTGTGAGGTCGTGGTTGGAGTGGAAAGATAAGCAGGAGGGGGAGGGACAAATAGACTCACAACACAAACACCGTTGAGGCAGGTTCTTCGCCATGTTATTCGAACTTCAGGCTCAGACTTGGGAGATGCCGACCGACATCAAGTTCAAAGTGACGGTCTCCATGCTTCTTAACCAAATCATCATTTGACCGCTCCTACTTTCCTTCCCTTTACACCCAGGTCGCGCAAACAACACACGTAGCGAAAGCCGGTGAGCATACATACGTAAACATGGCCCTGCCATTGGAGCCTGGTGTGTGATATTTCAGTGCTGAGCGCTTCACACGCTCTAAAATCAAAAGAAATCGTCAGCTGTACGCCATAACGTCGCTTAGCTTCCGCGCGACCACCACCAGTCGCTCTTCCTGCATCAAATGCACGACGAGGAAAGTGATCATTGCTAATGCAGGACTCCCACCAGACTTGAGATAAGCCGCGAAGGCAGCGATGGTCGGACGCAAAGAGCTTCTTTATGTCTATCGATCTGATGGGCCAGACTTCACAAACGTGCAGGAGCCTGAAACGGATTGGTACATTGTGCACTCTGCTCATCAGGGCGAGAGTTATGTAGCGCCGGCTCCAATGGTGGCGGAGATTAGTGAAAGCGCCACGAGGTTTTGCTATGCGGTTGGTGATCCCATTTTTCATTCCACTGGCGCTGATTTGGCTGCCTAGCTATTTACATTTCGCATCGACTTTTAGCTGATCACAACCAACTGTCAGCGCATGGGTGGCTCCATAATAAAACTGGAAAATGAGTTTGTATTCTCGGGGGTTCAAAGCACAACACGACTGATAGCCAGGGCTAATTTGGCCGGTGGCCAGCCCGTAGCCTTAAGGATCGCAAGCCTGCCTTCGAATCTGAGGGTGTGGGTTCAAGCCTGTGTAAGGACCAGGAGACCGTCGCAGTATCCTTAGCCCACGTGCGACCGGTGGTCGTTAGGCAGCAGCGAAGTGTCGGTGCTACCTACCGGCTTACTGCTGAAGCTTTGCCTTTTACTTTAACCGGTGCTATGCGGCACGTTTGCGTGCTATCAAGGAGGACGGCAATATCGTCGGCTTACTCCATTAGTCTGAGCAGGTAGCATTGTTCCGATGGGGTTACGTGTTGCTATTGGGCCTCCACACGAACCTCGGTGTTGACCACCGCTCAACTAAAACCTAAAACGAGTGTAGAAAGGGGTTTTAACTCTTCGCAGTTATTTCCAGGTTTGCCGGACGTACCGATCTTTCGGGCCTAGGCTTCTGTTTTGATGTTTGACGGAAAGCGGAAAACCTAAACAGGATCAAACGAGTACTCCATTTAGGCATAAAACACTGGTAGGTAGCCCCTAGGACATGACAAGAAAAACACGCGTTTTTTAACGTTAAACCTGAGTAATATCAGAACAGCTCATTCAAATACTTCAGTCCACGATTATTTCTGGAGACTATGTTAGCTTATTAATCGGAGGAAATTTGTATGACGCTGCAGTAAGATCACCGTTGCTAAATGCAGCGTGTGTTTTAGGGACTAATCAACTTTGGCCACCGATACCAGCAATGTGTTGCTCATATCTGGTTAGTACACATCAGTGAGAGCTGAGTAACAGACTGCCGAGTGCCGAGCTGAAACGACTAAGGGATTCGACTTGTCCGTCTCCCCTCATGTCTGTCAGCAGACAGTATCTTCCAGTATCACTTGCGGGTGCCTCAACCACTGGGTGAAAACCGTAGGTGGACATTTCATAACAATGGGAGAGAGTATAACTACACTGACACTAAGATTGGATCGATTAGTTGTTCGTCACCTTGTCGGGTAGAACCACACAATCGACAATAGCAGTGACTAAAACACAATGTGACAAGAAGGCAAAATTAAAGAAACACCTCTAGGTGTGAGACTTTCTGTCTGACTCAGATGGCCTTTCTGTCGCTTTAACGTGCTCCCTATTTACCCCAGTATGTCCAGCCCCCGTTCCTATATTTTTCAAAATTTCTCAAGAGCGCTGCTAAAGCGGTGGAACGGATATTACCGTCTGAGCATGCCACAAGTCATGCCGTAAATCCTGGAAGAGCAGCTGAAATAAATCGAACACTGCTCTACACCAAGCTAATGCATGCCACTCAACTACGCACTGATGATGTCACTTCGATTGGTGACGAAAAGTTTACAACAAAATTGCCAAGCTCAACGAACAGTTCAACCGCCACCTGAACAACCTGAGCTACCAGTGTTCCATGCTATAGCCGAATATTCCTTGTTATAAATTCTACAACGCGCTCCCCATAAGAGCAATATTGGTGTGCACGTGCAAGATGATCTTGGCTGTTTCGGGCAGAGCAAAAAAGCAGCAAAGAAATCAAATAACCTATTCAACCTCCCGTCTAAAGTATTCGAAAAATCAGACACCTCAATCTTCCCGCAAATGTCTAGTGAGTACGTAAAGCCGTACATGGAATACGCTACTCAGACGTGGCAGCCTTGGCAGAAGCGTCAGCTCACCGCACTTGCACAAAGCATGGCAATGAAGTAGGTTCCAGATTTATTCCACCTTCCCACCAAGCTAGGCTGGAAGCTCTAAGTGCATCTTGGGCGTTATCGGTGTCTACAACGTAATCTCATACTGGAGTATCAGATCCTGCAAAGGTCAATCCATCTTGTCATTATCTGTTGAAACACAGCCAAAGCACATTTATGAGAGAATATCAGTTTACGCTGGTCACGTAGTAAAGCCTACTGGGAAACAACAAAAGTTTCGCTCCGTGTGTCACAACGCTGGAACTCCCTCATAGCACGCGTAATTAACGCTTCCAACTTTCTACAGTTCAAAAGACGACTTGATGAAATAGTGACACGTTTACACCGCGTGATGTAGCCCTGTCCAACAAATGTTGGCATTAATGGAGGACAAAAAGTGGACTGTATCAATGGAAAAATTGTATATTACGGGCAAAAAAGCGGAGACTTAGCAAGTCTCGTGGGATGGCCAACAAAGGAAGCACAACGTGGTGAATAGAAAACAAATGGATACTAAATACTGAATACTGTATTATAGAGCAAGCAGAAATGAATTCTGTACAACTCTTTCGAAATATGGTGAAAAACGTTAAAAAAATTGTCAGCCATGAATATTGTTATCGTTCTCACGTAACATTTAAAATATCTGAATCAAGGTATTGCAGGACTCACAAATGTGACATGTCATCGTAAGTGTGCAATCGTTCTCTGAATCGAATAGTGGTAAAATATAAATCTAACAACGTTTTAAACTGCTGCACAGATGTTACCTACAGCACAGGTTCAGGCAAACTGTTCCAAATATTTAATTAAAATCCTTTTGTTGGACTCACCACAGTGTTAACGCAGAGGCACGCAGAAAGGGCCAACCTCAGTTGTGTAGGATAATTTTGGTTGTGCATTTTTCGTCGCATTATATCGTCTGTCGAGACACACAGGCTATATCGTAGTATAGGTGGGTTAGAACAACGTCAAGGCGTTTTACAAACACAAGTAAAGTGGGGGCGGAAAGAACGTAATTTGGGAGGGCGTTCCATGGCTGACACACACGGAGAGAATAAAGGTTCCGTAGACATTCTAGCCGACTGTATTTGTATGGCTAACTTGAACTGGTGGCCCCTAAGTTCGTGTTGTGGCTCAGTTGTAGTAGGTGGCGGCAGACGTGGTTGGTGTTCCTTAGAATCTGGTAGGCCATAATAAGGTCGCCACGTAGGCGCCGGTACCGGCCACTGCATAATTTTAGGGTCCTCAGTCTAAGTTGATAAGGAAGATTGAACAACCCTTTGACGTGCTTCGTGGCTCGTCGCTGTGGGGTCTCAAGCCCTGCAAGGTCTTGCTTATGCCAAGGCTGCCCCCTGTTGCGTATTCCACATGAAGACCGAACGTAGGTGTTAAGCAACTGAGAACAGACTGAGGGATCAAACCACCCAAATGCTCTCCACAGTATGTCAACATGTTGGTTCTCAGTCTGTGACGCCTTTTCCGATTGTTCTGAGCAGCCCAGATCAGTCTGAAGTAGTGCCCCAAGGTCGCGCTCCCGGGTGACTGCTTGCAGGATGTGATCTCCAAGTTTGTATATGATATTCGGCTGGTGGCGAATGTGAACCAGCTTCCCCGAATTGAACTGGAGCAGATTGTGGAGTGACCACCCATACGCTCTGTCCAGATCTCGCTGAAGTGCATCATGATCTGCTGGGTAGGCGACCGTCCACCCCAGCTTAACATCATCAGCGAACAGCAGGAATACTTACGCCTGTGCTACTGCAAACCTCTTGGTGAGTCAAGTTAGGCGAACAATGAACAATGATTCATAACGGGTAAAAAAGCAGGTGCTTGACATGTCCCGTAGGGTGTTTAGCGTGACAAAAAAGATAGCGAAGGGATAATGGAGTCGGCAGTTCGGGCGCTTACAGATGTAACTGCACTGTCGTATAAAGGGGGTTTGAAATGAGAATGTACGCACACAAAGCAACAGGGGAGTGGTTATTGTTCACATCATAGGAGAGAAAAATAAAAGAGATAGCAAGGACAACGCTTACTCTTGTGAAACTATCTTGGGTCGACAGGATACAGAAATCCAGTTTCTATAGTAGTAGCATTTATCAAATTTGTGCAAGGCGTTTGGAGTAACTCATTCTCGAGTAGGGTTATGACACTATCCCTTGTCTGTTGTGTATTGGTGCCAGCATCTGGTGGTCATGAGCTATAGCACGTAGTGTAAATGAGACAGGGTATCGTCAAGGCGATTTTTGAAAAGGGATAGGGTGGGTGCATTAATCACATGTTCCGGGAGGGCGTTCCGGAGCTGTACCACCCGAAGGGAGAAATAGTTTCGCCGACATTCCAGGCGGCTGTACTGCGTGACTAACTTAAACTGGTGACCTCTTAGCGAGGTGTTTTGACTGCGTATTAGAAGGGAATGGCATGGGTGGTTGGGGTTCCTCAGGATCTGGTACACCATTAAGCGATCGCTCCTTAAACGCCGATAACGTCCACTGTATATTTTGAGGGTCTTCAGCCTGAGTGGGTAGGGGAGGCTGGTCAAACCTCTGACGCTCTTCGTTGCCCTACGTTGTGCAGTATCGAGCGCGTTGAGATGGTGCTGGAACCAGGGTTGCCACGCTTGAAGAGCGTATTCCGCGTGCGGCCTCAAGTAAGCACTAAGCATTTTTGGAAAGACTGAAGGGTCAAACTTCCCGAAAGCTCTGTGAGGAAGGCCGAGGTACTGGTTCGCTTTCTTAGCTGCCTTTTCAGTCTGCCTCGAACAACCGAGGTCATCTTGAACTATCACGCCGAGATCGCACTCGTGAGAAGCCCGCTGTAGAATTTGTGGTCCTAGGCGGTAGTTGTGCATACTCTTGTGCCGTATACTGAGAACTTTGCATTTAGTGACGTTGAAATGCAGCATGTTCTCGATGGACTATGTGTACGCTTTGTCCAGGTCCTCCTGTAAGAATGTGTGATCCTCCACTGCAGCTATAGTGCGCCATACCATTAGGTCATCAGCAAATCGCAAACAGATAGAAGATAACGCACTCGCGAGATCATTTATGAAGATTAGGAACAGACGGGGTCGAAGTACCGAGCCTTGAGGTACGCCGCACTGAACTTCGATGGATTCTGTTAGGTTGCTTCTTACCCTCACATTCAGGTGACGGTGCACGGGAAAGTCTCCTATCCAGCCCAGAACAGGATCGCCGTTTCCATATTTCTGGAGTTTGTAGAGGAGAATGCGATGGTCTATACGGTTGAATGCCTTTGAGAAATCCAAGTAGGCCGCCTCGACTCCTACACCAGCGTCCACAGATTTCGTCCAGTTTGCACGACCAATCAAGAGATTAGTTGTACAGGAGAGATTTTGGTGAAATCCGTGCTGTTCCGGAACGAGAATTTCGCTGTTCTCCAGGTACCCCATTAAAGCCTCAGCTACCATGGACTCCATAACCCTGAAGATCACAAGAAGTAGTGTAATCGGGCGACAATTTGTTGGTTCAGCACGGCTACCACTTTTGTAGATAGACGTGATGATTCCGTGCTTATCTACAAAAGTGGTAGCCGTGCTAAACCAACAAATTGTCGCCCGATTACACTGCTGCCTGTGATCTCCAGGGTTAGGAGTCCATCTTAGCTGAGGCTTTAATGGGGTACCTGGAGAACAGCAAAATTCTCGTTCCGGAACAGCATGGATTCCGCCAAAATCGCTCCTGTACAACTAATCTCTTGATTGCTCTTGCCATGGTCTTGTACATTTCACTCAGACCATCCTACGGGACTTGCTAAGCATTTACCTTTTTACTCGGTATCAACCTTGCCTCATTGCTACATCGTACAGCGCCGACGAGTATCCATTTTGCCATGTAGACAGATATCCTTTTGCATCGGCGATAATGGATAAAACTATGAAGTGCTGACTATTAAAAGATCGCCCATGAACACTAAAGTGAAAGGTGCCATTGCAGTGACCCTTGTGGCATGCAACCATTCATTCGGCTAGTGCCAACACTGGAAGCTTCACAGTCCAATTGGAATAGCTCTTCTGGGAGAGAGCAGCTGAAGACAGGGTCGAGGAGCAGATGTTAAAGTTACTGTAAAGGTTAGGGTGAAACTCTTAAGTACCTAGCCAATTTCTGATCTTAGTAATATTCACTAGACGCAATCGTGTGTTAAGCTGGCGAGAGTTGCTGAAAATCCAATTATTTCTCTAACAGGTCAGCAATACCACCCAGCTGGCGCCAACATAAGTGTTGCAACTTCGAAACGAGACGACTAAGTCACAAGTAAAGCTCGGTTCTTTTCCAGAGTCAGCAGTTTACAAAACGTTGAAGGTCTGTAGAGAAACATTGTTGGTATTTTATTTCTTGTGCCAAAACCGAAAAAGTAACTATTTCCCATATTCACAGAAGGCAGGCTAACACCTTGTAGCGACAAAATTGCTGTTTTAGTCTTGGATATCACAGTTGATGCCTCAGAGATGAAAAATTCTACAGCACGGCCGATCAAGCACGTTTGCGTTTGTGTAGGACTGCTGAGATTCAAAGCAGGAACACTAGTGAGAACTCGATGGCATCGCGGCACAGTTTTGTGCGCGTTATATATATATATATATATATATATACAAGAAATAAAAGTGCCACTCAGACAAATAGCCCCAAGGCACTAGGCAGGTCTGGCCGATTTGCGACATCATGTAGCCAAAGAATACAAGGGATGATATAGAGGATTCTGATGTTTCGAGTGGCGCGACTAATAAAAGACTAACTAAGTATACAACGTACCAAAACCGGACGTTTTCCGGTTGTTCACATCCTTCGAAGAAAATTTCCACTGCTTCTTCAAAAGTCCCAAGCTGGATTAGTGAGCAAAACTCAACACAAATTGCCTGGTATTCGTTGGGTTCTATTTCTCCAATGCTCGGAGTGATTGTGAAGCAGTCGGAAAATTCACTAGCTGGTATTCGCATGCAGAATGTCGCATTGATACAACCCACGTTTGAGAGTACAAGTTCGTAGGAGTGCTTGGCTCCAATGAATAGCTTGCCCATATCCAAGCAACGGAAGGAGAATTTCACTCGTGGGCCGAGACCAGTTCCGCTGAGGTGTAGCTTCAGTCCTTCTTCCTGTCCTGCTATGTCACAATACAACGTATCATTGTACTCTTTTGCTTGTTGTGGATGGAAGTAAACGGTAAATTCCAGGCTACTTTGGGGCAGTATTTCTCCTTGGACAGACTCGATAGTAAATGGTGCAGATTTCATGTCTTCGAATGTCGGCGCTGGTGTCTGGAATGGTTAGTTAAAGCTGCAGCATAATATTGAACTTAGAAACAACTGCTTAACTATATGATTTGATAGGGAATGAAACAATTACGACAATGGAGGGCATTAGCACTTGGAGGAACGATATCACGAAAAGGGATCATAGATGTCACGGCAGACAACACAAGTCCACACCGACAATGTTGCTTGATATGTGAAAGTAGGTTGCTTGATCTCACCCTAGAAGTATCTAGATGATAAATTAACAAACCACTACCTACCTGTCAAATAGTTGAGCAACCAAGTTTGTATTTCGAGAACAACGAGGTCGTATAGTCAGAGATTGCTTTCAATGATTCATCTTTAGACTATTACAATCACATACAACAGAAAAATCAGTAAAATCGACCCAATCAGTTCAAGTTACATGGATGAAAATACGGAACTGCGCGAAATAGTCTCGTTGTTCACAAAACACTTAATGGAAATTTTCAAGTTACTTAAATTCTCCAAATCCCCATCAGTGGTGAAGGCGCTTAATCAGTCCCTCGGGTTCTCCACTAAATGCGTTAAAGTCAAAACCTGTGCTCTCAATTCTTCAATGGTTACGTTGAGTGTACTGAATTTCATGCCAGATTTTTGAGGCAGTTGCAGCGACCTGGAGATTCCTTATTTGTTTGGGTATGATGTGTAAAAGATTATAAAAAATCTAGTTTCATCTTGTACCTAGGCAAAATAGCAAGCTTGCCTGTTCGGACAGTGACTACGTATAGTTGAGTCAACCAGACGAACTGCACTGCCCACGCTTCGGCGTTCCGCCTCGAAGAGTGCTCGCGACCTCTGCGTTGGCGACCGTACCTCACCCCCTAGCTAGAACCTTTTTACGGTGCTTTTAGCTAGCAGGATAGTATAATTCGATAACAAACCAATAACTCGCCCATTTATTCGTCTTCTTCCGACATTTGCCATGAGGCGGGATGAACCGAAGTTTACAGCGACCGAGCGGTTTTGTTATACAGTTATGCCGTTATCGGGTTTAACCTAGACAGCAAAGCACTTAGACGGTTGTACTAAATCAATGTGGCACAGTGCAGTTCAATATTGTTGAATGCGAAGCAAATCTAGCACAGTGCCACACAACAACGGAGGATTTAGCTGCAGAGGAAAAGATACTTTAGGATGTTGTTGAGTCTATTACCAGCAACCGTGTGCAGCAGAGACGTTCTGCTTTGACAAATTCGCTGAGCCGGCGTAAGCCGTAAGCCACGTTCCCAAACAAGCCAACGAGGTAGGTGCACAAGTTTTCTAGTAAGAAACTGGACACAAATCTAGTCGAAATTGTATCGCTTGGCCTAAATTTATGCGCCCTTAACCGAGGAGGCAACCAACCCGCTTAGGAGTCAAAATTTTAAAGCTTATGGGACCAGAATAGGGGTTACTCGCTAAGTGAAATATGGATCCGGAACGGTTTAAGTGCTTTTTGGTGAACTGCTGCTAACAGTATCGTAAAAATCACCTCCGTAATCATAATTCACTGATACGAAAGCAGCTACATGCGTTGAAGGAAACAATACGCAATGTGGGGTCATTTTGTGCAGACCGGACAAGGGTGCTGGAATCGTGCTACTAACCAGACAAGATCGCACAGATAAACCGACAGAAATACTGAAGGATGAGCCAATGTTTTCATGCAGCACAAGTGAAGTGGACCGAGCGGACCAAGTTAAGACACATATAAGACTAAGTGCTTGCAAAAACTTCGGACTAAGACGCACATTTTCGAAGCTCTGTACAACTACCTTAAATCTAGTGGCACATGCGATTCAGGGCTTTATGGGTTCACAAAACCAATGTCCCCTTCATCGTTGGATGTAACCACGGACACTGCGGATTTCTGAATTACCGTGCTGGATTCCACTTTTATCCGGGATTACTGTGTTATACGTGACTTTTCTGTGTGAATCATGCACCAATATATTTCTTTTCGTGTATCTTTCTATCTGTGCAAATTTGGGGATGTTCTCTGGCTAGTTTCGAAGTTCTCATTAATTGTCTCAACTGCTGCCTGAGTCCGCCCCCTTGTATTCGTTCTACGGTAATCGGCCATCATGACCACCACTCCGTAACCTGAAACGAAGTAGCTTGTGTTAATCACCTTTGTGTTAAGTTAGTAAAAGTAGGGTGAACTTGTGCAGTTTGCATTGACCGGTACTAATCGATGTGCGTCAAGGTCTGTAGAACCGACATAAAGAAATACAATACGCCGGATTCACTTTGATCCTGTTCGAAGTGTACGACGGTTCCATTAGTAAAAATGCGTACTGACCTTAACACAAAGTACGACAGCCTAATCTCCGAAACTCAGTATCGTATGAATGCAAAAATGGCTTCCCTCAATGCGACAATAGGATATCTTGCACCTCATGCGTCTCCCCAATTGCTGCCGCGAAACCAACGCAAAGGGCCAGACGTTCACACGGCAGCACAGTACTTGAAACCTTGGGAACCACGAAGCAAATCGTCGTCGCGACTAATAGAAGCATGCCTAGCCCCACCGCCCACATCCTCTTACTCAACGTATCCACTGATACGATATCGGAAACACTCAGCCTTCCGATTAACCAACGAAATCCGAAGCGCTCTAAAGACCGGTCCACCTATGCAACCGTTGCTGTGCAATATAATCAAAATGCGACCTCGGTAGCCGTACCCGGTACAGTCACAAAACGGGTCAAGCACCAGGTGCGACCTACAGAGACGTCACTTAATCCCTCGATAACCGTGCTTCCCACATCACCGAAGACCAGGCTGAACTACGGGGCATTGACACTTATATTCACCAACGTTCCTGAGTCCAAAGCAAACTCTTTAAGGGGTTGACAGCTGGATGTTTAAACCAATGGAATATCCTTTGTAATATAATCGAAGTTCAAGCCAGTCTGACTAATATAATGCGCATCACTAGACATCCAACCTCGAAGCTTTATGGGATTCCCGGCTAATGCGAGTAACATCGGGATCGACAGATGATGTCGGGACGGCGCTTTTGTCGGCATACCAACTGCAGACTGAAAACAGTGGAATACGCATATTTCCGGATGTCCTATGAAGCGAACGCCAGCGGGACAAAGATAATTCAAACGACCACCACACGGAGAGTAGCAAGATATATATTTTCATTTTTGGCGTGCCCGAGCTAAGAACAATCGGCAACGAAGTAGCCTACCCTTATGACCTGGAAGAATGGTGTTGTAGCCGTGAAGTTCTCTTTCCTGCGACGTCATATTTCAGTCTATTAAACGGTTACCCATGTCGTCAAACTACAGAGGCAGTGACCCAATGATACTGAAAATAACGGTGCAGTCACAACAGATGGCCGTGAAATTAATCAGTAATTGGAAAGTACTACTCAACACACTTCCTTCGGAACTACGACTGAATACAGCAGCTAGAGGGCCGTAGCCACTCGCTGTTCTCGCCGAAACGACACCACTCGCTACGCAATACAACCGAAACAGAGATTCAGAAATCTGTGCGCTAAAATCTGTAGCTATCGAGAAGACTGCCGATGGACATGTCACAGGTGCAAGTGAGTCCAAAAACAGATTGCATTCCAATAGAGATTGGGCAATTCACCTTAAAATGGTTTAGGTGCCGGCCTCTCATCGGCCGACACAAATTCACATCATTCATGTGCTCCTAGTCAACAGCTTTTTGCATTCGAGAAGCTTTCCTGTGTGTACACTAACGCTCAAGATTTACTGAGTAAACTACTTGAAACTTGGCTGCGTCAAGGATCAAAATACTGTAACCTCATCGCTAGAACCGGGACTCGGTTACGCCCTGACATAAAAGTGACGTGGAGATCGCACTGCTAGGCACGTCCATCGTTCGGCATGACTGACCCAGTAAAGATGGAGTGATGCATCTGTACTTCCATAGCCATCTCCAATGTACACTCATAGCTGATCCGCTCAGCACGATACAGCATTCCCTTTGGTGTCGGCTACGTCTAAAAGGCGACGACACTTGCTTAGTTGCGGTCGTTTACCGCACTGCTTCCTCCACGCCCGAGATGGACTTCTATCTGGCATCTGCAATATGGAGGGCGATAAACACAACTTACAGTCACATTCTCATTACTGGCGATTTCAACATCCACACTCTGGAATTCCAAGCAGCTGTTGGAGAATAGTTTAAGACCGAACTACAAGAGTTTGTCACTACTTACCCGCTGTATGTCCACATCAACTATCCCACCCTATTCCGAGAAAAAGATAAGCCGTCAATACTGGATCGCATATTCAACAAAGAAGAATTAATGCTCGAGAGGGTGATCTTCGAAGTCCCCTTAGACCGCAGCGATCATGCAGTACTACTCTTCGAATACATTTGCTATGCAGCATACCCCGTGGAAAGTGACGACGGAAAAAATACGAGTATATGCTACGACATATTAGCTCGACTAGGTGAGACAGCCAACTAGACCTTCCTGGAAGACGAGGCACCAGCTAGTGTATGGGAATATTTCGTCAGCCAGTTTAACTCTCTGGTCGCCGAAGCGTGAGTGACTAAGTCCCTCTGCCCGAGAAACATGGTCCCATTTCTGCGAAGCAGGACACGCAAGTGTATAGCAGTGCGAAACTCAGCCTGGCATATCTAAAATCTCTCCCCCGAGCACCGAGAATTGGTTGGCCTAGACGACCCAATGAAACCTCTGTACTCAGCTTGTTCTCGAGGACAGAATGGCGTATCAGCAGAAGTTGGCAGTGCATATGGCTTCTAATCACAAACTTCTGTAGCAACACGTCAACAGTCTACGTAAGGTGAAACGGGAGTTCCGCCTCTTTAAACAGCAGACGAAACCACAAGGACGCCGAATGAGTGGGCGCATAACATGCGCCTACAATATGTTGCGCTATTTTATTGCGACCACTGGCCACCTAACCATATGACAATGGTCATTTCACCCCAAAAGCACGCACATTTCCTTCACAGCAGAAGCTGTATTGACAATGCTGTTG